ATGAGTCATTCACCGTTAGCTTCCAAGGCTCATTCACCGTTAGCTTCCATGACTCATTCGCCGTTAGCTTCCATGGCTAATTCACCGTTAGCTTCCATGACTCATTCACCGTTAGCTTCCATGGCTCATTCACCGTTAGCTTCCCATGACTCATTCGCCGTTAGCTTCCATGGCTAATTCACCGTTAGCTTCCATGACTCATTCACCGTTAGCTTCCATGGCTAATTCATCGTTAGCTTCCATGACTCATTCACCGTTAGCTTCCATGGCTCATTCACCGTTAGCTTCCATGGCTCATTCACCGTTAGCTTCCATGACTCATTCACCGTTAGCTTCCATGAGTCATTCACCGTTAGCTTCCATGGCTCATTCACCGTTAGCTTCCATGACTCATTCGCCGTTAGCTTCCATGGCTAATTCACCGTTAGCTTCCATGACTCATTCACCGTTAGCTTCCATGGCTCATTCACCGTTAGCTTCCATGGCTAATTCATTGTTAGCTTCCATGGCTAATTCATTGTTAGCTTCCATGGCTCATTCACCGTTAGCTTCCATGGCTAATTCATTGTTAGCTTCCATGACTCATTCACCGTTTGCTTCCATGACTCATTCACCGTTAGCTTCCATGGCTAATTCATTGTTAGCTTCCATGACTCATTCACTGTTAGCTTCCATGACTCATTCACCGTTAGCTTCCATGACTCATTCACCGTTAGCTTCCATGACTCATTCATTGTTAGCTTCCATGACTCATTCGCCGTTAGCTTCCATGGCTCATTCACCGTTAGCTTCCATGAGTCATTCACCGTTAGCTTCCATGGCTAATTCATCGTTAGCTTCCATGGCTCATTCACCGTTAGCTTCCATGACTCATTCACCGTTAGCTTCCATGACTCATTCACCGTTAGCTTCCATGGCTCATTCACCGTTAGCTTCCATGGCTAATTCATTGTTAGCTTCCATGGCTAATTCACCGTTAGCTTCCCTGGCTAATTCACTGTTAGCTTCCATGACTCATTCATTGTTAGCTTCCATGACTCATTCACCGTTAGCTTCCATGACTCATTCACCGTTAGCTTCCATGGCTCATTCACCGTTAGCTTCCATGGCTAATTCATTGTTAGCTTCCATGGCTAATTCACCGTTAGCTTCCATGACTCATTCGCCGTTAGCTTCCATGAGTCATTCACCGTTAGCTTCCATGGCTAATTCACTGTTAGCTTCCATGACTCATTCATTGTTAGCTTCCATGACTCATTCGCCGTTAGCTTCCATGGCTAATTCACCGTTAGCTTCCATGACTCATTCACCGTTAGCTTCCATGGCTCATTCACCGTTAGCTTCCATGGCTAATTCACCGTTAGCTTCCATGGCTAATTCATTGTTAGCTTCCATGACTCATTCGCCGTTAGCTTCCATGACTCATTCGCCGTTAGCTTCCATGGCTAATTCACCGTTAGCTTCCATGACTCATTCACCGTTAGCTTCCATGGCTCATTCACCGTTAGCTTCAATGACTCATTCGCCGTTAGCTTCCATGACTCATTCACCGTTAGCTTCCATGGCTCATTCACCGTTAGCTTCCATGGCTAATTCACCGTTAGCTTCCATGACTCATTCACCGTTAGCTTCCATGGCTCATTCACCGTTAGCTTCAATGACTCATTCGCCGTTAGCTTCCATGGCTAATTCACCGTTAGCTTCCATGACTCATTCACCGTTAGCTTCCATGGCTCATTCACCGTTAGCTTCCATGGCTAATTCATTGTTAGCTTCCATGGCTAATTCATTGTTAGCTTCCATGACTCATTCACCGTTAGCTTCCATGTCTCATTCACCGTTAGCTTCCATGACTCATTCACCGTTAGCTTCCATGACTCATTCACCGTTAGCTTCCATGGCTCATTCACCGTTAGCTTCCATGGCTCATTCACCGTTAGCTTCCATGACTCATTCACCGTTAGCTTCCATGAGTCATTCACCGTTAGCTTCCATGACTCATTCACCGTTAGCTTCCATGAGTCATTCACCGTTAGCTTCCATGACTCATTCACCGTTAGCTTCCATGGCTAATTCATCGTTAGCTTCCATGAGTCATTCACCGTTAGCTTCCATGACTCATTCACCGTTAGCTTCCATGGCTCATTCACCGTTAGCTTCCATGGCTCATTCATTGTTAGCTTCCATGGCTCATTCATTGTTAGCTTCCATGGCTAATTCATTGTTAGCTTCCATGACTCATTCACCGTTAGCTTCCATGACTCATTCACCGTTAGCTTCCATGGCTAATTCATTGTTAGCTTCCATGGCTAATTCATTGTTAGCTTCCATGGCTAATTCACCGTTAGCTTCCATGGCTCATTCACCGTTAGCTTCCATGGCTCATTCACCGTTAGCTTCCATGGCTAATTCATCGTTAGCTTCCATGACTCATTCACCGTTAGCTTCCATGAGTCATTCACCGTTAGCTTCCATGGCTCATTCACCGTTAGCTTCCATGACTCATTCACCGTTAGCTTCCATGGCTCATTCATTGTTAGCTTCCATGACTCATTCACCGTTAGCTTCCATGGCTAATTCATTGTTAGCTTCCATGACTCATTCACCGTTAGCTTCCATGGCTCATTCACCGTTAGCTTCCATGGCTAATTCATTGTTAGCTTCCATGGCTAATTCATTGTTAGCTTCCATGGCTAATTCATTGTTAGCTTCCATGGCTCATTCACCGTTAGCTTCCATGGCTAATTCATTGTTAGCTTCCATGACTCATTCACCGTTAGCTTCCATGGCTCATTCACCGTTAGCTTCCATGGCTAATTCACCGTTAGCTTCCATGGCTAATTCACCGTTAGCTTCCATGACTCATTCACCGTTAGCTTCCATGACTCATTCACCGTTAGCTTCCATGACTCATTCACCGTTAGCTTCCATGACTCATTCACCGTTAGCTTCCATGGCTAATTCACCGTTAGCTTCCATGACTCATTCACCGTTAGCTTCCATGACTCATTCACCGTTAGCTTCCATGGCTCATTCACCGTTAGCTTCCATGACTCATTCGCCGTTAGCTTCCATGGCTAATTCACCGTTAGCTTCCATGACTCATTCACCGTTAGCTTCCATGGCTCATTCACCGTTAGCTTCCATGGCTCATTCACCGTTAGCTTCCATGGCTCATTCACCGTTAGCTTCCATGGCTCATTCACCGTTAGCTTCCATGGCTCATTCACCGTTAGCTTCCATGGCTAATTCATTGTTAGCTTCCATGACTCATTCACCGTTAGCTTCCATGACTCATTCACCGTTAGCTTCCATGGCTCATTCACCGTTAGCTTCCATGGCTCATTCACCGTTAGCTTCCATGGCTAATTCATTGTTAGCTTCCAAGGCTCATTCACCGTTAGCTTCCATGGCTCATTCACCGTTAGCTTCCATGGCTAATTCACCGTTAGCTTCCATGGCTAATTCATTGTTAGCTTCCATGACTCATTCGCCGTTAGCTTCCATGACTCATTCGCCGTTAGCTTCCATGGCTCATTCACCGTTAGCTTCCATGGCTAATTCATCGTTAGCTTGCAAGGCTCATTCACCGTTAGCTTCCATGGCTCATTCACCGTTAGCTTCCATGGCTCATTCACCGTTAGCTTCCATGACTCATTCACCGTTAGCTTCCATGGCTCATTCACCGTTAGCTTCCATGGCTCATTCACCGTTAGCTTCCATGGCTCATTCACCGTTAGCTTCCATGAGTCATTCATCGTTAGCTTCCATGGCTCATTCACCGTTAGCTTCCATGGCTCATTCAGCGTTAGCTTCCATGGCTAATTCACCGTTAGCTTCCATGAGTCATTCACCGTTAGCTTCCATGGCTAATTCACCGTTAGCTTCCATGGCTAATTCATCGTTAGCTTCCATAACTCATTCGTTGTTAGCACGTTAGCTTCCATGGCTAATTCACCGTTAGCTTCCATAACTCATTCACTGTTAGCTTCCATGGCTCATTCACCGTTAGCTTCCATGGCTCATTCACCGTTAGCTTCCATGACTCATTCACCGTTAGCTTCCATGGCTAATTCACCGTTAGCTTCCATGGCTCATTCACCGTTAGCTTCCATGGCTCATTCACCGTTAGCTTCCATGGCTCATTCACTGTTAGCTTCCATGACTCATTCACCGTTAGCTTCCATGGCTCATTCACCGTTAGCTTCCATAACTCATTCACCGTTAGCTTCCATGACTCATTCACCGTTAGCTTCCATGACTCATTCACCGTTAGCTTCCATGGCTCATTCACCGTTAGCTTCCATGGCTAATTCACCGTTAGCTTCCATGGCTCATTCACCGTTAGCTTCCATGGCTAATTCACCGTTAGCTTCCATGACTCATTCACCGTTAGCTTCCATGGCTCATTCACCGTTAGCTTCCATGGCTAATTCATCGTTAGCTTCCATGACTCATTCACCGTTAGCTTCCATGGCTCATTCACCGTTAGCTTCCATGGCTAATTCATCGTTAGCTTCCATGACTCATTCACCGTTAGCTTCCATGAGTCATTCACCGTTAGCTTCCATGAGTCATTCACCGTTAGCTTCCATGGCTCATTCACCGTTAGCTTCCATGGCTCATTCACCGTTAGCTTCCATGACTCATTCACCGTTAGCTTCCATGAGTCATTCACCGTTAGCTTCCATGGCTAATTCACCGTTAGCTTCCATAACTCATTCACTGTTAGCTTCCATGAGTCATTCACCTCCATCTGTTTTGACGATAAATCAGCGTCCTATCGCTACTAACACTTGGAGTCAAAATAATACGTTCATAAAATCTGCTCTGACAACTCTACCACAATAGAAAATACACATACTAGCCACATTGCAGGATTAAAAACCTCAGAAAAAAGTAGCTTATAGAAATGTCCAGAAATGTCTGTATCTAATGGTTTATTTAGTCTCAAATATATCAGCAGGTAATCCTCAATGTGTTTCAATGTGACCAGTTCCATGTGTTACAGAAGTAAGAAGCTGAACGGGTCTCTGGAGCAGCCGGACCATCCCGACCTGGACGCCATCAAGATGTTTGTGGGACAGATCCCCAGGTCCTGGTGCGAGGAGCAGCTGAGAGAACTGTTCGAGCCGTACGGGGCGGTCTACGAGATCAACGTGCTCCGCGACCGCAGCCAGAACCCACCGCAGAGCAAAGGTTCGCCACAGAAATCACAGCGACTCACAGGTGTCACACTTAAAGCTGCGGTACCTGACTTTTTGTTTAGTTCCAGAAATATTGTTTTTTTGAGTTGAGAACAAATCAGACCACAACATGCAATCTACTTCTCATTCACAATCTACTGTTCTCTCTTGTGTACTTGTAAGAAAGAGCCCTGGGAGTCAATATTTGAGGCTTTGGGCTGAGAGGGCCACCCTATAACTCAACCAACCAACCAATCAGCTCTCAGCCCAAAGCCTCAAATATTGACTCCCAGGGCTCTTTCTTACAAGTACACAAGAGAGAACAAATCAGACCACAACATGCAATCTACTTCTCATTCACAATCTACTGTTCTCTCTTGTGTACTTGTAAGAAAGAGCCCTGGGAGTCAATATTTGAGGCTTTGGGCTGAGAGCTGATTGGTTGGTTGGTTGAGTTATAGGGTGGTCCTCTCTTTTTCACTTTTTAATCTGTGACAAAACATATATCTGTGTGTGAAAACTGTGATAGAAACACATCCTGTGCAATAAACTGCAGAATGAAATTGAAATATAGCAATAATAATGCACTGTTTTTTTTATAGTGCTTTTATTGGGCACTAAAAGATGCACAATGGTGATAAATTACAATTGTTGCCACAGCTGTCCTGGGGCACACTGAGAAAGACACTGCAATCAGTATGTGCCATCGGCCCCCTGCCCACCTTCTTGCCGAAGGACACGACGACAGTTTAACACTTCACAGCCGCAGCCGCCCCACTGTGGCACCTGGTGTTCCCAGTGGTCTCCCATCACAGTACTACCAGGCCTTGCCCTGCTTAGCCCTTAGAGATCTGATGGGATCTAGCTTTCACCTGCACATCTCTCTTCTAAACCAAGATAGAAGACCTTCCTTATTCCTATTGTCTTAGTTTTTATTGTTTTATTGTTTTCATATTCACACAAACTCAGCTGCCAGCGCATGATACAGGAACACTGCAAAAAGTGAAGTTAAAAATTGCTCAAATTTGGCTAATTGTATTTTAATTTGTGTACATTCTGACAAGATTTGCCAATGGAACAAAGCTAAATTATCTTGTTTTAAAAAGAAACACGAAATGTCTCCCTTGGAATGAGAAATTAAAGCCACAGTTCTTGAAATAAGGCTTTGTCCCATTAGCAAATCTTGTTTTAACAGTCAGAATGAACTCAGATTAAGATGAAAAATAGTACATTCAATCATTTATCACCTCTTATTTCATCACTTTTTGCAGTGCAGAAACCATAAATCATGACTTATTGATTCATTTCTTGAACATATTCCAGTATGTGTGGTGCTTACAAACACAGAGTCGGTTTTTGCATATATCTTTGAGAAATATCTTAAATCTTTTTAAAAATCTATTTATGAATGTAATCTATGACTTTGTGCAGGCTGTTGTTTCGTCACCTTTTACACTCGGAAATCAGCTCTGGAAGCACAGAACGCTCTGCACAACATGAAGATCCTCCCTGGGGTCAGTCCTTCACTACACTGCACTCACAGCTGGGGCCTGTTTCTTTGTTTTTGTTTACATCCCCAGCAGCTACTGAATTATACAGAAGCTATTCCTACTGGGTCTATGTGCCGTCACGTTAACATGACAATAATAATAATAAAAACATGTAGAGTATTAGTGTAGAAATGTTTAGCAAAGTAACAATTGCTTTAATAAAGTCTTAATTTGAGCACATTCTGGCTTTTGAAACAAGACTCTTCAATGGGACAAACCAAAAATAGTCATATTTTAATCCCATTTGCGATTTTAACGTTTTAATGTTTTTAATTACTTACTTACTTTATGCGTTCTACAAATACAAGGTGATTGATTGATATTTCAAGAACTGTGGCTTTATTTTCTCATTCCAAAGGGGACATTTATTGTATCTTTTTAAAACAAGGTCATTTTGTGTTGAATTTGCTCAAATTAAGACACATTTTGCCAAATTTGAGCAATTTTGTACTTATTTTTCCTCACCTTTTGCAGTAACACACACACACACACACACACATACTCAGTTCAAACATTACCACATTTTAAAAGTACATCAAACATCTATATTGTTCTTTTGTTCAGATGCACCATCCGATCCAGATGAAGCCGGCGGACAGTGAGAAGAACAATGGTGAGGCTCCTTCACACGATGCAGACGGCAGGATGTGTGTGTGTGTGTGACGCCTGTGTGTGTGATGCATGTGTGTGTGACGCCTGTGTGTGTGATGCATGTGTGTGTGACGCCTGTGTGTGTGATGCATGTGTGTGTGACGCCTGTGTGTGTGATGCATGTGTGTGTGACGCCTGTGTGTGATGCATGTGTGTGATGCCTGTGTGTGATGCATGTGTGTGTGACGCCTGTGTGTGTGATGCATGTGTGTGTGACGCCTGTGTGTGATGCATGTGTGTGATGCCTGTGTGTGATGCATGTGTGTGTGACGCCTGTGTGTGATGCCTGTGTGTGATGCCTGTGTGTGATGCATGTGTGTGTGACGCCTGTGTGTGTGATGCATGTGTGTGTGACGCCTGTGTGTGATGCATGTGTGTGTGACGCCTGTGTGTGTGATGCATGTGTGTGTGACGCCTGTGTGTGTGATACCTGTGTGTGTGATGCATGTGTGTGTGACGCCTGTGTGTGATGCATGTGTGTGTGACGCCTGTGTGTGTGATGCATGTGTGTGTGACGCCTGTGTGTGTGTGATGCATGTGTGTGTGACGCCTGTGTGTGATGCATGTGTGTGTGACGCCTGTGTGTGTGCATGTGTGTGTGACGCTGTGTGTGTGTGATGCATGTGTGTGTGACGCCTGTGTGTGATGCATGTGTGTGTGACGCCTGTGTGTGTGATGCATGTGTGTGTGACGCCTGTGTGTGTGATGCATGTGTGTGTGACGCCTGTGTGTGTGATGCATGTGTGTGTGACGCCTGTGTGTGTGATGCATGTGTGTGTGACGCCTAGTGTGTGTGATGCATGTGTGTGTGATGCCTTGTGTGTGATGCATGTGTGTGTGCCTGTGTGTGATGCATGTGTGTGTGACGCCTGTGTGTGTGATGCATGTGTGTGTGACGCCTGTGTGTGATGCATGTTGTGTGACGCTGTGTGTGTGATGCATTGTGTGTGAGCTGTGTGTGATGCATGTGTGTGATGCCTGTGTGTGATGCATGTGTGTGTGACGCCTGTGTGTGTGATGCATGTGTGTGTGACGCCTGTGTGTGATGCATGTGTGTGTGACGCCTGTGTGTGTGATGCATGTGTGTGTGACGCCTGTGTGTGTGATGCATGTGTGTGTGACGCCTGTGTGTGATGCATGTGTGTGTGACGCCTGTGTGTGTGATGCATGTGTGTGTGACGCCTGTGTGTGTGATGCATGTGTGTGTGACGCCTGTGTGTGTGATGCATGTGTGTGTGACGCCTGTGTGTGTGATGCATGTGTGTGTGACGCCTGTGTGTGATGCATGTGTGTGTGACGCTGTGTGTGTGTGATGCATGTGTGTGTGATGCATGTGTGTGTGACGCCTGTGTGTGATGCCTGTGTGTGATGCCTGTGTGTGATGCATGTGTGTGTGATGCCTGTGTGTGTGATGCATGTGTGTGTGACGCCTGTGTGTGATGCCTGTGTGTGATGCCTGTGTGTGATGCATGTGTGTGTGATGCCTGTGTGTGATGCATGTGTGTGTGACGCCTGTGTGTGATGCATGTGTGTGTGACGCCTGTGTGTGTGACGCCTGTGTGTGTGTGATGCATGTGTGTGTGACACCTGTGTGTGTGATGCATGTGTGTGTGTGACGCCTGTGTGTGATGCCTGTGTGTGATGCCTGTGTGTGATGCATGTGTGTGTGATGCCTGTGTGTGATGCATGTGTGTGTGATGCCTGTGTGTGATGCATGTGTGTGTGACGCCTGTGTGTGATGCCTGTGTGTGATGCCTGTGTGTGATGCATGTGTGTGTGATGCCTGTGTGTGTGATGCATGTGTGTGTGACGCCTGTGTGTGATGCCTGTGTGTGACGCCTGTGTGTGATGCATGTGTGTGTGACGCCTGTGTGTGTGATGCATGTGTGTGTGACGCCTGTGTGTGTGATGCATGTGTGTGTGACGCCTGTGTGTGATGCATGTGTGTGTGACGCCTGTGTGTGTGATGCATGTGTGTGTGACGCCTGTGTGTGTGATGCATGTGTGTGTATGTGTGTGTGTGATGCCTGTGTGTGATGCCTGTGTGTGATGCATGTGTGTGTGATGCCTGTGTGTGATGCATGTGTGTGTGACGCCTGTGTGTGTGTGATGCATGTGTGTGTGACACCTGTGTGTGTGATGCATGTGTGTGTGTGACGCCTGTGTGTGATGCCTGTGTGTGATGCCTGTGTGTGATGCATGTGTGTGTGATGCCTGTGTGTGTGATGCTTGTGTGTGATGCATGTGTGTGTGATGCTTGTGTGTGATGCATGTGTGTGTGACGCCTGTGTGTGATGCATGTGTGTGTGACGCCTGTGTGTGATGCCTGTGTGTGATGCCTGTGTGTGATGCATGTGTGTGTGATGCTTGTGTGTGATGCATGTGTGTGTGACGCCTGTGTGTGATGCATGTGTGTGTGACGCCTGTGTGTGTGATGCATGTGTGTGTACAGTATGTGTGTGTGTGACGCCTGTGTGTGATGCCTGTGTGTGATGCATGTGTGTGTGATGCCTGTGTGTGATGTGTGTGTGTGTGACGCCTGTGTGTGATGCATGTGTGTGTGACGCCTGTGTGTGTGTGATGCATGTGTGTGTGACGCCTGTGTGTGTGATGCATGTGTGTGTATGTGTGTGTGTGATGCATGTGTGTGTGATGCCTGTGTGTGATGTATGTGTGTGTGACGCCTGTGTGTGATGCATGTGTGTGATGCATGTGTGTGTGACGCCTGTGTGTGTGTGATGCATGTGTGTGTGTGACGCCTGTGTGTGATGCATGTGTGTGTGATGCCTGTGTGTGATGCATGTGTGTGTGACGCCTGTGTGTGATGCATGTGTGTGTGTGACGCCTGTGTGTGTGTGATGCATGTGTGTGTGACGCCTGTGTGTGTGATGCATGTGTGTGTATGTGTGTGTGTGACGCCTGTGTGTGATGCCTGTGTGTGATGCATGTGTGTGTGATGCCTGTGTGTGATGCATGTGTGTGTGACGCCTGTGTGTGATGCATGTGTGTGTGACGCCTGTGTGTGTGTGATGCATGTGTGTGTGACGCCTGTGTGTGTGATGCATGTGTGTGTATGTGTGTGTGTGACGCCTGTGTGTGATGCCTGTGTGTGATGCATGTGTGTGTGACGCCTGTGTGTGATGCATGTGTGTGTGACGCCTGTGTGTGATGCATGTGTGTGTGACGCTTGTGTGTGTGTGATGCATGTGTGTGTGACGCCTGTGTGTGTGATGCATGTGTGTGTATGTGTGTGTGTGACGCCTGTGTGTGATGCCTGTGTGTGATGCATGTGTGTGTGATGCCTGTGTGTGATGTATGTGTGTGTGACGCCTGTGTGTGATGCATGTGTGTGTGTGATGCATGTGTGTGTGATGCATGTGTGTGTGATGCATGTGTGTGTATGTGTGTGTGTGACGCCTGTGTGTGATGCCTGTGTGTGATGCATGTGTGTGTGATGCCTGTGTGTGATGCATGTGTGTGTGACGCCTGTGTGTGATGCATGTGTGTGTGACGCCTGTGTGTGTGTGATGCATGTGTGTGTGACGCCTGTGTGTGTGATGCATGTGTGTGTATGTGTGTGTGTGACGCCTGTGTGTAATGCCTGTGTGTGATGCATGTGTGTGTGATGCCTGTGTGTGATGCATGTGTGTGTGACGCCTGTGTGTGATGCATGTGTGTGTGACGCCTGTGTGTGTGATGCATGTGTGTGTGATGCATGTGTGTGTATGTGTGTGTGTGACGCCTGTGTGTGATGCCTGTGTGTGATGCATGTGTGTGTGATGCCTGTGTGTGATGCATGTGTGTGTGACGCCTGTGTGTGATGCATGTGTGTGTGACGCCGGTGTGTGTGTGATGCATGTGTGTGTGACACCTGTGTGTGTGTGTATGTGTGTGTGTGATGCCTGTGTGTGATGCATGTGTGTGTGATGCCTGTGTGTGATGCATGTGTGTGTGACGCCTGTGTGTGATGCATGTGTGTGTGACGCCTGTGTGTGTGTGATGCATGTGTGTGTGACGCCTGTGTGTGTGATGCATGTGTGTGTATGTGTGTGTGTGACGCCTGTGTGTGACGCATGTGTGTGTGACGCTTGTGTATGTGTGATGCATGTGTGTGTATGTGTGTGTGTGATGCCTGTGTGTGATGCATGCGTGTGTGACGCCTGTGTGTGTGTGATGCATGTGTGTGTATGTGTGTGTGTGACGCCGGTGTGTGATGCATGTGTATGGGTGTGTGACGCCTGTGTGTGACACCTGTGTATGGGTGTGTGAAGCCTGTGTATGGGTGTGTGACGCCTGTGTATGGGTGAGTGACGCCTGTGCTCCTCACAGCAGTGGAAGACCGAAAGCTCTTCATTGGAATGATCTCCAAGAAATGTAACGAGAACGACATCCGCCTCATGTTCTCGCCGTACGGACAGATCGAGGAGTGTCGCATCCTGCGGGGCCCGGATGGACTCAGCCGAGGTCTTTATCAGCTCTATTCTTTATATTAAAGCCTGGGTACCTAACTTTCAAGCCACAACAAATGGAACTATGTAATACAATCTATAAAACTAGTTCCTTGCTCTCAAGGAACTAGGACCTGTGTCACATCTTCAGCTTTGTCAGAAAAGTGAAAAGAGAGCACCACTCTCAGAGTCAAACAGTGACTCATGGCTCTTTCTTGCAGCATGCACAAGAGAACATGTTCTATAGGTCAAAGACAACATGTAGTGGTCTATAAGTGTTCACTTTCTGTTGGGACAAACAAGTAATATGAAAGAAATAAAGTTAGGAAACCCTCTATCACTCCTTCAAATAAGCACACTTACACATCTCCTCTACATATATCTGTAAATATAAAGTGTATGATTCCTATTTTATTCAACGTAAACATTTGAAGCCTCTTTTTATGATTCATACTTAGAAATGTTTTCAACTTGATACTTTCTTTGGAAAAAAAAAATACCTCAAGATTTTATAGTTTTGATGCAGTTGTCTTTGTACATAAACTAGTGCCATTTGGTTTTCTTTGGCACACTTTGTACCAATGTGTGCCAAACTCAATTACTCAAATTTTAGGTTAAAAAAAATTATGTTTATGTTTACCTTCCTTTATGAAAAAATGGACGGCCCATCATTTTTTTCCTTCCAGGTTGTGCTTTTGTCACGTTCACGGCTCGACAGATGGCCCAGTCTGCCATCAAGTCCATGCACCAGTCGCAGACCATGGAGGTACAGCACTAGCACACGATAACGATATCACGATAACGATTATCGATATATTGGTCAGAAATATACAATATGCCAATTTATGGCATAAATAAAAGAAAAAATACACTTTATTTCATGATAAAGGAAATGTAGATGCGTAATGTAGCCATATATTAAGTATTGATACCAATTTTTGTTCTTTTTCAAAATTGATATTGATACTTGGCAAATGCATATCGATAAGCGAATCGCAGGAGAAAGTATCGCGATATATCAAAAAATCGATATATCGTCACACCCCTAGTGTGATGTTTCCTGCAGCCTCATGATGGTCTGGTTTCTGGTCTCTGTGCACAGGGATGCTCCTCGCCCATCGTGGTGAAGTTTGCAGACACTCAGAAGGACAAAGAGCAGAAGCGGCTGGCCCAGCAGCTGCAGCAGCACATGCAGCAGCTCAGTGCTGCCTCCCTGTGGTCAAACCTGACTGGCCTCAGCAGCATGGGCCCACAGTATTTAGCTGTGAGTAGAATCAACAGTATTGGCTCATATGTGTGAATCTGTGTTTCTATTCAGCCATGATGTACAAAGTATATCTTGTTGAAGTTTAAATGGTGAGAGAAGTAGTTTATTTATTAAACCCTTCAGAGTGTGATGCAGCAGACTCTCAATGTACCACATAAACAATGTTGTGTATGCACAGTTTTGATACATATGTTTTTAGCAGTAAGAAGTAAACACATCAATGACAATCCATGTACAAAAACCAAAATCCAGTTTGGTTGCCCAACTTTTGTAAGATTTTGTTAAAAAAGTAGTTTTTAAACTTTAAAATCATGTTAACTATTCCACACTGTAAGAGAGTTTGATCTGCTAAATGAAGACAGGAAAAAGAAGTTCCAAAGGTGTGATCATTTCAAAATAACAATCAGATTTAAGATTAGGTAGACTTACAATGGAGAAACTTACATGTCAAATTTGGCATAAATAGTATCACTGCTATCTCTGTCACTATCAAAAGACAAGATAGTGCAAACAGGAAATGTTCAGAATAATAATTCAAAACCACAAAACCAGATCAAATTCTTGTTGAGTGTGTGGAGACAAAGCGTTAGTTTTGATAATAATGAATAGTAGAATAGTATTTCCATTGAATTGCCACCATTCAGGACTTTGCATGTGTTCAGTTGTATTTACAGTTGCTGCAGCAGTCAGCCTCCACGGCCAACGGACTCAGCAGCATGCACTCGTTCTCTGGTAAAAACACGGATACTCTCTTATATAGAATAACCACAGAGATGGAGTGTTGAATGTTGTGTCTCGTGTCACAGGTTTCAATGCCATCCAAAACCTGGCAGCCTTAGCAGCAGCAGCCAGCGCCACACAAGCCTCACAGTCGAGTTCAGGCTCTATGACGAGCTCTAGCAGCCCCATGTCCATGTCCACCACAGGTAACATCATCGCAGTTATCTCTGAGGACTTTACAAAACCGTAATTCGCCAACACAGAACAGAGAATCAAACAGTTTAAACACAAGAAATCCAATGATGACACACACACACATAGGTCCATAAGTGGCGGAGACCAATGTCCATAAATGTCCCTGAATGTCGTTGAATGTCTTGTGTCTTGGATCATTGCCACTACTTCCCACTCGGAATAATGGTAATGGTCGCCGCTCAAGTCGGAAACTCGGGCTCGCTGGGCCAATAGTCCTGAGATCCAAGGTTCAAGGTTCAACTTTATTGTGCCCTCAGGGAATTTTGTCTCAGGCTCACAGGTGTTGGACACAAACATACAACACACTCACAACATCAGGACAATCGACTTGAGTGCACAACATCAACACAAGAACAAGATTATGTGTGCAAAGATACATATCAATTTACAGTATAGGTTTGCAATTGAATGAATATATGAATGTATTTTTTTATATGGTCAATAGTTTAATTAATCACCCCCGCGACCCGGCAACAGATGAAGCGGAAGACAATGGGTGGATAGTTTGATTAATTACAGATATTACATTCACTGACTGTATTACAACCAAAAAGGATTGGGCTGAAGCAACTTGCTGATGTGAGCTCATCCTGACATCACGTCACATATGAGCTACATAGACACAACAACTATGTAAAATATTAAGTAAAATGCATATTACTGATTTCAAACTCAAAATACATTGCTAAAACAACGTATTTTTTGTTTGCTTTTTTCAAATGTTATTATCGTTTTATTTTATTATCCTTATTCTTTTTAAGGCAGCGTTTATACATGTACAGGATATAGAATAGTAGACACACTAAGGACATACAATGACTAAAGTGCTAGTGCTGTGCTTAAGAAGGACATTGCACAAATATAAGTGTGTGACATCAAATATATTAATTTGATTTCTCAATAAAGACAACCAAATCTTCACATGAAAGAAACTCATTCAGTTTTTGTGTACACCTGCAGGTTTTAAATGAATAAATAAATGACCTTCAGTTTTCCCTCCCTGACCGGTTTAGCAGCTCTTACAGAATGAGAAAAGCAGAAACCAGGTTTGAACTCTCATATAGTTTCTCTTGTGTGTAGGTTCTTCTCCCAGCTCCAGCAGCAGCTCCGCGGTGAACCCCCTGACGTCTTTAGGAGCCCTGCAGTCTCTGTCCTCCGGCTCTGGCCTCAACATGGGCTCCCTCACAGGTGGACCACTACTCAGATTCAGTTTATTTTCCATTTGCAATAAAACCACATTGGAATAGCTATACATGACTACCCCTGTCATGAGGAGAAATTAAGGAAGGACCCAAAAGGCAGGAATGCCAAAATAATGATTTAATGAAGGAAACAAATGAAACTCCAGGGAAAAAAACTAACCAAAAATCCAAAACGAAACTCAGGAACCAGGAAATGTACACAGAGCGCTTGTCACAACGCCATGTTAATATAATATACAGTAATATAGTATTAAGTACACCTGCAAACAGTGCATACTGCATTTTACAGAAAGTAATTCTTAAGAGCAGCAAGTATACTGTACCTCTGTACTTCAGAAACGTCTGAAAACCGGTTCACGAAAGTACAGAGGATGGGTGAGCAACCTTTCTTTTTATAATGTAGAACAATGCCTTGTTGTTCATTCTAATATTATACGAACACTACACGGATACTATACAGATACTATACGGATACATACGAATATTATACGAATACTATACGGACACTATACGGACACTTGATACCAGCATCAATGCATTCCAGAAACAAGAAATTCTAAGGAATATTCTAGATATAATCTAAGGACCTTTTGTTGTGCAGGCATGTCAGGTCTTAGCAGCTCCCTGTCCTCCAGCAGCCTCTCCGGGGGGCTATCTGGAGGGTTATCTGGAGGCCTGTCTGGAGGCCTGTCTGGAGGCCTGTCTGGAGGCCTGTCTGGAGGCCTGTCTGGGGGCCTGTCTGGGGGCCTGTCTGGTGGTCCTGGCTGCAGCATGGAGGCCCTGAGCCAGGCATACTCAGGCATCCAGCAGTACGCAGCCGCCGCCCTGCCCAGCCTCTACAACCAGAGCCTCCTGTCCCAGCAGAGCATCTCCGCCGCAGGAAGCCAGAAGGAAGGTGAGTTTAATCATGTTTTCCTCAATGTAGCTTTTATTACGGCAATGTAGAGAAGGCAAACTAATACATTTAGCCAAATGTCAATAACATGGGATACACATGGTTTATCATACTGTGTTTTTTTGGTTAATGCAAAGACAAACACAACTGAAATAAGTTAAATCAGTTTAATCAAGTTTTATACAGATTTCTGCTACAAATTGAAAATGCACTGGAAATTTACATGTACAGTTTAAAAAAGACAATTAATGTGTTCTGTTTGTCCTTTCTTGTTGACAAATAGTTAGAAACAGCAGAGTGTATGTTGAAGAGTCATATTACGTCCGGGCAGGACGCTGGATCACAAGTGAATAGCGTGGCTTGGGTCAAACTTTTTGAGTATCCTTTTACAAGGTCCTAAATAGTTGGCTGGAATTCTGGCCCATTCCTCCGGACAGAGCTAGTGTAACTTGCCACCTCCCTTGCACACATTTTGAGATCTACCTGCACTTTTTCTTTGGAGCGGAAAGCAGGACAGAAATAGAAGAGCACGTGCAAACTTACGGCCTCCACTGTAACAAGCACCTTTAATTATGACATTTATTCTAACTCACACTTTGCACCTTAGCACTTCTCACTCACTTCTTCACACAGTGAGGGCAATGTGAGAACACTGGAACCACTCTACCATCCACAACTCACCAGTTATTAAAACAGGACTGTTTTACTTTCTATTTATTTATTTATTTAGAAAATATAATTTCAGGTCCAGAAGGCGCAAACCTGTTCATCTACCATCTGCCACAGGAGTTTGGAGACCAGGACCTTCTGCAGATGTTCATGCCCTTTGGAAACGTAATCTCCGCCAAAGTGTTCATCGACAAACAGACCAACCTCAGCAAGTGTTTCGGTCAGTACCCATCATACACCTCTCTCCTGTGGCATGTTGGGGCTCTGTGTATGTTTAAATAACTCTTAAGACCAATAAATAATGCACTAAAACTGACCAATAACTACAGTAATTGAGGTGACAGTGGCTCAGTGGTAGAGCAATGGCCTTTGAGCCTGAAGATCATGGGCTCGATCCACTCACAAGACCCTCTCCACCGACGTCTGCTGCCGTTTATATTGTTTATTTGGTTGGGACAGTACATGTAAATGAACACATCTGTAAATTTCCATCCGTCGTCCAACAGTCGCGCAACCACACACTCATTCACCCTGAACTATTGTACATATTTTTAGTGCTCGGGGAAACCGGAGCACCTAGAGGAAACCTATGCAGACAAAGGGAGAACCTTGCCTGTGAATTGGGTGCAGTTCTGATTGCCACCCTTTGTCCCAGAAATGGATTAAGGGGAAGAAAATGGATGGATGGACTTAACAATAAGTGATAGCACAAGACTTCTATTTGCTTAAGAACAATGTCACATCACTTAAACGGTGTCAAGTAGAGGATCTTTACATCAAGTCAATTCGATTTAATGTGTTCGTGTATAGCCCTAAATTACAAGTTGTCTCGGAGGACTTAACAAAACACAGATCAGAGAATATTACAGTACGTAACTTTTATTAGGATATAAAATCAGCTTCTTCATTCTGTGGCGGTCCATATTTCTGTATCTGTAAACCCTTTTTTATAGGGTGGTTGACTCTAGGAAGATGTTCTGATCACACATTCATTCATCCACATCCACACCTCTCGACACCTCCGGGAAGCAGCCCATAACGATACATTTCTCAGATGTCTGTCTTTTTCAGGTTTCGTGAGTTATGACAACCCAGTGTCATCCCAGGCAGCGATTCAGTCCATGAACGGTTTTCAGATCGGCATGAAGAGACTCAAAGTCCAGCTCAAGCGCTCCAAGAACGACAGTAAACCCTACTGAGCAGTGAGCACCTCCACCTGCCACCTCAGCTGCCGGAGGCAACAGGTCCCTTTCACACTACCACACTGCCCCATCTCATTCATGCAGCCGTGGACTTCCTAAGATATAGAAAGTCATCGCCAGAATACTGTACATTAAACACACAGTGGAGAAGGAGCTAGAGCTGGATAATCACAGACGTCAGAAGAAGAGACTTGCCAAGAACATTGTAATCGATTCAATTACAAGTTATTTTTGTACAGCCCTAAATCACAACAGTAGTTATCTCTGAGGACCTCACAAAGCCGTCGATTTGCCAACACAGATCAGGGAATCAAACCGTTCAAACACCTGATATCTCACTCTTGTCATCACCGTGTGTGGAGTAACTGGAAAGTGTTTTGTGTGACCATGATCGGAGAAATGCGCTATACACATAAATTTTACTTACTTACGGGCCTAACAAACGAACAGATACTGTACATTAGATTCTGGAGAGTTCTACTGTATACAGACCTAACCATGTGCGACACTCCTTCATCTTTAGAGTGAATCCAGTTTTCATGATTAATGCACTTTTCGATAGTTTGGTAAATATCCTTTCAGTTTGCTGTGCCGTTTTTTGTGTTGTTTCAAACGAATGACGTATAATATTTTCTGTTAATTATTCTCAAGTCTCGGCAAAGTCTTTCTCTGCAGCAAGACTTCTCTACGGAACCATGGATGCTCTGTTATATTCAACTCGAGGCACAAAAGGAGAAAGAAAACAGTGATTATTGCAATACTCCACCAAAAATCGAGATTTGTGTTTTGCCTGTTAACTTAAGTCATCATTTAAATGTTGACTTGTGAGGAAAAATGATTTATTATTATAATTATTTTAGTATTTCTGTAATCTACAGTAGGAATTATCTGTACATGCATGGTCCAAATACATGCAATACTATTTGAATGTTTTTTAAATAAACAATAATAACTTTTATAATTTATCATTTCTGTATGATCTTATCTACCAGTACTGCAGTATTTATTTTTTCCACACTTTCTTTATGTGATGCGTTTTTCTTGTTGCATATTATGAAAAAATAAGGGAAGGCTAATTTTATGTATTAATTTATTGATTCCTCTAGATTCCCTCTGTAGATGTGTGCTGTGTTTTTAAGTCTTCAGTGTGAAACTGCGTGTAATGGTACCTTTGCATATGCGTGTGGCGACAATTATGTTTGTACGCTGTGTTTGAATTGTTTTAAGTGGAACTTGTGTATTTAAAATATGGCATCAATTGCTATTAAAACGGATAAACTCTCGACATTTGATGTTATTTTTTTGTTTCTCTCGCTGAATTTATTATCTGAATTATCACAATAAGCACAATTAGATGGGAGGTGAAAGTATTCAGAGCTGCCACCAAATGTTCATAGCACCAGTCGCTCTGATCCTCCTGCAGGTGATGGGTCCACAGGAAAATGGCTGCTCCGTCAGCGGTGACACAGCCCTGGTCTTTGAGCCGGGGCTTCAGGCAAAGTGGGGTTAAGTGTCTCGCCCAGGGACAGCAGCAGACTTCAGTGGAAGCAGACAGAGTAGACCTTACCTGACCTAAGACCTAATGTTTATAACGAAGAAACAAACTACTACTAATTTACAGCAGCAGTGATTTGATCAGTTTCTTTGATAGTGTGTTTATGGTAGAAAAGCAGTCATCAAATATTCAATAAACATTTATTGCACATAAATAATAAAATACAAATGTTAAAATACAGTAGGCTCTATCCAATGCATTTCCATGTGACAGATCCGAGGACCTTTATCCATATGATGCATTTGAAGAACATTGCATGTGCCATTCAGAAGGAATGTTATAAAATGCTTGCTCTATATCCCACTTGAAAGAAACAACATTCATAATGCATGCTAAGTCATAAATGGGTTATCCAAAAACAAAGTGACCCTTAAGCAGGAGGTTACAGCATGTGTGATTCAACTATGTTCACACTGAGGTCTCTAGACCTGAAGAAAAACATACAACCATCGTTTCAAAGTAAAAGTCACGTTGCATTGTTACAACTGGGATCATTTATCAAATAACCGTATCCAAAGTTATCAAAGGAGCAGAAAGGGTCAAGGGTTTGAGATGGGCATATGGTCCTGTGTATGTAACAGTTGTTTCAGAATAAAACGTTGAATCTGCGTCTGGTTAATAGTCTGCAGTGTGGCCTGGAACAGCACTGACATGTAAACGTGCACAACATAAGCATGAGTTGAGTGGTTTCCATTTTAAGTGCAAATGCAGAATAAATACTGCGATAGTGCAGGCCTGGTTCTCTCAGTGTGGACATAGCTGTAGCGTTGCATTGTGTTTGATACCTGTGTGTTGATACATTCATTAAATACACAATAAAGAATGGCCTGCTTTGAGACCATACCTAAGAATATTGGTTACATAGAAAAAGCTCACGAGCTACTTGCACTAGTCAAAATACAGATATGTGTGGAACACATGAGCCCTGCTCTCTACTGCCGCTTATGTCCACTGACTACACAGTATGTACACAAAGTGCAAGGAGGCACTTTCAGTATAGACATACAGTTATTTTGTTCAATACAAAAGTAACATTTGGTGACATTTTTGGACAAGCTAATCCTGAAGTCATGACTTTGAATGGATGCTGAAACATTTTAGACATTGGTGAAAAAAGTGACATTGATTAGAATAGATCACTCTCATTAGGACATAGATCAAGATCAAGGCAAAGCTGTAGCATATAAAAACAACAGTATGAGAACACACTTGCACACATGAGGAGATAACACACAGGTAAATTAGACAGTCGACCCCACACACCTCCCGCAACTTCAGCAAGACAGAATGTACAGAGTAGTGCCAAATTTAGAGTCCATTGGCGCTGCGCTTACGGCCGTAAGCCTTAAGCTCTGCCTCTTTTGGGCTTGTCCATGCGTGTGACTTCTGGCTGTAATCCCATAAATCCAAGAGCCAAGTGAAAGGTCCTGCCCTTCCTCCTATGACCACTGGGGGCACTGTGTCCTGCCTGACACTTCAAACATCTAACATTCACGAGGGAAATGGACATAACAACAGAAACACATAAACGTGACGTCCTCACCCACAGCACACACACACACCTCAGTGACAACAACACTTCTGCAACACAAACCCTCAGATGAAGGTTAACACGTGTGCGACAGCTGAGGGGTAAGTCCTCTGCTTAATTAACCAGGATCAGTGCTTTTTCTAAAGTAAACACAAACAGATTTATGCGGTGGACATGTCCAGAGTGTTTCTGAGGATCTTCTGCTTTAGGTTTATTCCCTTGAGGCACAGCCTCGAAGAGGGAGGCACCGAAAGGAAAAAATCTTCACTCTGGTTGAATAAACTATAGTTTATCTGTGATGAACACAGCACCAGCTTGTGTACCTCAGACTCCTCACTCACAACATTCAGTCTCACAAACACATTCAGACCAGAGAACCGGGAGCTTGAGCAACATGATAAGGCCCTGGATTGTCCAGCCGTAGTCCATGGAGCACATGAAACAGTCTGTGTGGTGCATGTGCACTTTGTTTGCTCTGTTTTTATTCAGTCAGAGGTGGAAGCTGGTTGGTGAACACAGGGTACTCAGAGTAAGGCGCAGCAGCTCCAGGCCTCCTCTATTCACACTTCCATGGCCCCTCCTCGATGAAGGAGAAGTCCGTCTTACCGTTTGAGCCGTAGCCCACCTGTAAGCATGTGACATCTGACTATGTGCCGAGGCATGGTCACAACAGGGTTGGGCAGAGAGGCCAGAGCTGAGTGCTTTTGAGCACAAAGAATGAGGCAAATCAACAGAGCTTCAGCCAGAACTATAGTTCACACTTGGCCATGTATTTAATGGATTCTCTGCCCAACCGAATTACAAGACAAATCAATACATGCAACGTGATAAAACGTTGCATCATAGGCAATGAGATATAATGAAAGGTATATCCTTCTGTACATTCAGTTACTATAGGTTTACAACTATCACAGCAAATTTGCTACATGAAATAGCAGTCTTTATGTCCACCATTGATTGTAATTTGGTCAGGGCTGCCAATAAATACATGTCCAGTTACAACAAAGACTTTGGTAAATCCAGTACAGCATGTACATTGCAATGAAACAGACAAGAATCACAAATCATTGGCATGGTTTCACAAAAACTGCTTTTTCAAATATAAAATGCTTTGTTCTTTATGGCAGGACTCACAGGTGACCACAGCGGCTCTACAGACACGACTCTATGTCAGTGAAGGTGAAGTGTACCTTGCAGTCGTCTAGTAGGATTGAGTTGTGGTGTGCGTATGCATTCTGGTTGCTGTTGTTTTCGAAGAACGTCTTATTCTTATCCATTTCAAAATCCTCCATTCTCTGCTGAGCGTCAAAGCTGTTCAGCTCGTCTTTGGACAAGTGGTACACGATTCCAGCTCCGTAAGAATCCCCTATCACGTTCACCGACGTACGGAAGCGATCGCTGCGCACAAAGGAAACAGTCAAATGAACATGCAGAGAATGATTTGGGAGGGTTTAGTTTGTTTATGTTATTTTGGATCCAAAATGAATACTGGAAAACCATAGCACTGGCACTTTCTTTTGACACCACTCAAACATAGTCCAATATAAACAGCAGAAGTGTCGGGGTTTAGGTTTATTTCCTGTTTTGTTTTGTAATCTCTGTTTTGTATTCTTCCTTACTTATTCTTCCTTAACTTAGAAAATAAGTCACATGTCACAATGTTCATTGTACTATTTTACTAACAACCATCTATTTTTATTTCATGTTTTCATGTTTGTCACATGACTTAAGGGTCACATGACTTCCTCTGTTAAAAATGGGTCATGCACGGGTCATTCTTCCCAAGCCCTGATGAAAACAGAATGTTGAAACGTGTTGGTAAATTAAAACCAGAATTCTCGGCATTCGAGCGCCTCTGACTGATTCTCTAAGTTATCCTATTTGCCCCACCAGAAGAGCACCGGCGTCTAACGACTTTTTTAGCCCCTGAGCACTCCTAGCCTCTCCTTCTAATCCATTAATTTTGTAGTTCTGCGTTTTGGGTTCTTTTCTTAATGCCCTCATGACAAGAAGTGTATAACACTGTCATGTTTCTTGTAGGCACGGCTTAGCTGGAGGCGGGGCTTAACTGGAGGCGGGAAGAGAAACTGGCAGACATCTTGTCAAAGCATGCAGCGTATCAGTGAATAGATTTCAACAAAAAACACTTAATCCGAATACCCACAGGCCACCGGATTGTATTCATACTATTCTACAATGTAATGAGGCCTTATTATAATTTAGTTATTGATGACTTACTCTTATAACTATTTAATTTGTAAGCAAAGGAAGGTTTCTCACCCATCATCTGTACTTGTGCGCAGGTTTTCCCAACATTTCGTCCTTAATCCAAAGAACTTTTTCAAGGGAATGAAATGTCAGACCGCGCATTGGAGATTTGTAACCTTATGGGTGTGGTTAGACACACCCTAATCCTGAGGCTAACTCCTTAACACATCTAAGGTGTGTTAAGATATGGTAGGGAGCAGGTCTAACAACCCTGCTAGGGCTAACGACCCTAACTCATGAGCATGTTACAGACATATCTATAGTTAGGGCGTTGTTTTTAGGACGTCGTCATAGATGCGAGGCAAAACAAATCTTAACCCTCCTCCTCTGTTAAGAGAAGGTTTGTGTTTCCTCACAAAAATGGCTTCTTTCACCCCTCTCTCAAACCAATTTTTGTCTCGAGCCAGAATTATACCTCTGTGTCGTTCATGGTGTGGTTGGAGGCCTTGAGGTGGAGATGTACAGCTGATTGTGGCCCACTGGAGTTGTCTCTACAATGTTGGTAAAGCTGTTTCTGTAGAGTTTGTTTAGTTTCTCCAATATAGTGGTCAGTGTACTTCTCTTCACTACATTTAATTGAATACACGTATTCAATTAAATGTAGTGAAGACCTGCTCCCTAACACATCTTAACTGACCTTAGATATGTTTATGAGTTAGCATCAGGATTAGGGTGTGTCTAACCACACCCATAAGGTTATAAATCTCCAACGCGCGGTCTGAGATTTCATTCCCTTAAAAAAATTATTTGGATTAAGGACGAGACGTCGGGAACACCTGCTAAGAAGGACAGATGATGGGTGAGAAACCTTCCTTTGCTTTGATTAATCCCTGTACGACTGAGAGCTACACAATCTTTTTTAATGTCGTCAATTCCTCATTCAGGGCAGGTGGTTTCAGAACGCTACCGGATGGTGGTCCCTTTTTTGAATAAATAAATTCACACTTTGATTGTGTTACAGCTCTTGGTTGTTTTCATGTTTTTTTCTCTCTGTCTGTACATAAATTCCACAACACCCACTCAAGGTTTGGCCTTAAAATTTGCTAATACACTTAACAGCAACATAATTGATATAAATATGATTTTTTATTAATGTAAAACCCAGCCCTATCCACAATGCATGCATACTCAGTTTTGGGAATTTGGGGCAATCCTGGGGCGTTTGATAACTCTGAAATGACCAAGCCATGCCCTGAGCCCTGAACCCTAAGCTCTAGTACCTGAGCCCCGACCACTGAGCCTCGAGCCCCAAACCCTAAAGACTATTTACTCACAGGAGCCAGTCGACTGCCACCAGCAGACTGATGTCCTGAGTGGGCAGCCCCACCGCGGTCAGGATCAGCAGCATGGTGACCAGGCCAGCGCTGGGGATACTGGCAGCTCCTACACTGGCCAGAGTGGCGGTCGCACTGCAGACACAGGGAAGTCAGTGTAGATTGAGGGTAGTTTTAGCAAATCAGTGAATGATCACACTCAAAGAGCTGTTCATTAAGTAGACAGAAAGGAATACTTAAATATAATTTAACTGAAATTACACAAAATACAATAAACAACACTACAAGTTACAATAAGTACACTACATGTTACCTCTGTAAGGCAATTCTGCTTTTCTTTTGGCAAATGCTTTTCCTAAATATCTTCTTTTACACTACAGCATGCGTTTTGAAGCGAACGCCAAAATTCTAATTGTCTTGAATAATAATAGTTTGAGTTTATAGAAAGATTCATTAGATAATCCTAAATGAAAAAACATTTGGTTGTTAGTCACCATTAAGTCATCGTTAAGAAAACCTCAGATGTTTAAAGTTTAAAACGCAAAATCCATGTGAAGAGTGTTACCTGACGGTGCAGATCTGCCCCCAGTCCAGGTCGATGCCATTCATTTGAGCGATGAAGATGGCGGCCACAGCCTCGTACAGCGCCGTGCCGTCCATGTTGATGGTGGCGCCCACAGGAAGCACGAAACGGGTCACTCTCTTGTCGATCCCCAGGTTTTCCTCCAGACAGCGGAATGTGACCGGCAAAGTACCAGCGCTGACAAAATAACCACATTTTTGTTTTTATTATAATTCATTAAATAATCTAAAATTTTGGTTTATAAAGAATCGTAAAATGTATTGATATTTTAGATGTGCAAAAAATCTTTACCTAAATCTTTTTCTAATACACCTTGACCTTCAACATACACTGGAGCTGAAAGTGTGAGCACTCTTTTTGGACAGCTGCTCCCACAAACCGGCAATAGATAAAGTGGAAGAAAATGGATGTATCGAATTGAAAGTCATCTTTATCTTTAGTGTCATGTGTCAAGATTCTAGACCAGAGGTGTCAAACTCATCTTGGGGCCAAAAGTACAAAATAAATGTTTTTTTGTTATTGTTGTTTACTTTATTCATATGTGTTACAAATTATTGTATTTGGCATGAGTCAAAGGTTTGGATTCAATCACAACTGGGCCAAATATAAAAAAGTACAATTGAAGTTTCAAAGTTGAACATAAAAACATAAGTATTTTGCCTGACTTAACTGTTTACATGTTGGGTAACATTTTATAACAGATTCAATTATATGGTTGTTTTCCTGAGAATATTAGCTTTAAAATGAAGTACACTGTAATCCATGCCATTGTATCCCATTACCGTCAATGCTGTAAGTCACTCCGACCATGATAAATCAGTCATTTCAGGGGGCACAACAAATGGCCGGATTTGGCCGACCGGCCTGAGTTTGAGTAGCCTGCACTAGACTATCGGCAGGCACTGAGAGGTACTCGCCCTAATGGTCTGCGACTACAGACGTGTGGTCCATGACTAGACTTGAGCTCAGCAGTGCACAGGTGCAGGTACCTGGAGGCGGTTCCCAGCGCTGTGACCCAGGCCTGGAACATGCCCATGAAGAACTTGAAGGGGTTTTTTCCGACGATGACGAAGTATATGAGTGGGAGGAAGATACCACCGTGGATGATGAGGCCCACGATGACAGTGACCATGTACATTCCCAGCTGCCTAGCCACCACCTCCAGATCTGCGATGGAGATGATTTTCCCACAGATGAGGCATGCGATACCCAGAGGAGAGTACCTGCAAACGGCAAGAGAAACACTGAGGTTCTGTTTTCACACCTACATACATCGCACAAGGACTGGGCTATAGCCGAGCGCTGTCGTCACCCGTAGTATTTGCCCAATATCAGAAGAAGGAAATTTGAGCTCAAACAGCCACTATATGAATTGGAGTCTGGAACTACAGTAAATGATGTAGCTAGCAACGAGCTAGCAACCAAAGAGCCAATCAGGAGTGGTCTGCCTCTGCTGGTGCAAGTTGCTAGCTAAAGACAAAACAAAGGAAGTACAGATGATGGGTGAGCAACCTTCCTTTGTTTTGAATAAACCCTGTACGACTGAGAGATCACACAAACTTAGATAAAGAATGAGTGTAACACAAACGGTTACAGAGAAGAGAAGTTGGAGCTAAACTTATCTCATCAGCATTTCCCTATTAGCATTAGGCGTTAGCATTACCCATCTTTATACCGTCTATGGTAGTATCTGGGTACGTATGAATTCATCTAGAAGATAATGATGTGGCGTTGTGGAGTGTGTTTGGACAATGAGGATAAGATGTCATTTCTCCACTGAGGGTTAATAAAGGCATTCATTCAAGATACATTAAAACAGATGCACTTACCACATGATGGCGCCAACAAGCTTCATGACAATTTCATTGAGCACGTTAAAGAAATCCAACATGAGACTGGCTCGTTCGCCCATCTTTCCCATGATGACGCCAAAGGCGACGAAGAATCCGATCAGGCCTGGACAGAGAACGGAGCTCTTAGAGAACTCGAGCAAAAGACAGGGGGATCAGAAGTGTTAAACTTACCCAGAACATTCATGCCTCCTTTGAACTGCAGCGTCCGCTTGATGGTAAACTGTGGAGGTGCTCTGGTTCGGTTGGTGGGCACTGGAACTTTAGTGATCACAGTCTGGATCTGTTCACATAAACAAATATACAGTCGTTACACATGTAGCTCAATGAGTATGTTTCCAAAGCATAGGGCGACAGTAGCTCAGTTGGTAGTGCACTGGAGTTTGAGCCAGAGGGTTGTGGGTTCGAGCCCGACTTTCACCATCGACTCCTGCTGTCGTTGTGTCCTTGGCAAGACACTTTACCTTTGAGAACACCAGCCACAGTGGAACGGCTGCGGCTGTAAAGTGCCAAACTGCTGTTGTGTCCTTAGGCAAGACACTTCACCCCCATTGCCTAGAATGAGTCTTGTGTGTGTGTGAATGGTTGGTGGTGGTCGGAGGGGCCAATGGCACATACTGGTTGCCTCACTTCTGTCAGTGTGCCCCAGGGCAGCTGTGGCTACAGTAGTAGTTTATCACCACCGTGTTTGGAGTGAAAGAATAAAAGACACTCATGTAAAGCGTCTTTGAGTGTCCAAAAAGCGCTATATAAAACCGATGCATAATAATAATAATAATAATAATAATAATAGCAGAACAGAGAATATCTGTGTTTCTCTGACCACTTTGGTTTAGCTTTCTCAAAATGTGGAATTGCAATTGTAAATCCAAATTCAATCCAATATACAGTTTAAGTAAACATTTGGCAAATGTATTCATACATGTACGCGCAAGTCATTAAACTTTCGGTTTTGCTTTAATTAAACAATTAATTAGGGCTTTCACACTGACCAAAAACCCGGGTTGCCCTTTTCAGTGACCACTACTACCACTTGTATTAAATAGAAGTAATCTTTATTTATATAGCGCCAAAGCACTTTACAGTGTTCAGAGTTCAGATATTGTTCTATTCTCTCCAGCATTGACCTTTGAGCGCGGGTCCAAAAATGTGGTTCTACAGTGTGACAAAAGGCTAGTTTCAAATTAGACTCAGAATTCAGAGATATTCACCTCCAACTGACACTTATGATGTTAAAGAGACCGTCATTTAGGATACGCCTCCTTTAATGTTGCCTGACCACGTATCCATGGAGACCCCCATTTCAGCGCAGGTACATCACTGAAATGTAACTGCGCATCGGCCTCCATTCTCACATACATCATTGCCGATAGTCTTACTCAATATTAGGTGACCACCATTATTATTATTATCATTATCAAAATGTCTTTAAATTCAATGCAAACAAAATGAAGTTCTATTTTACTTGGAAATTGTATTTAACATACTGGGCATTCAGAAGGTACACTTGCTTGAATCGAGTGGTTTTAGCTTAATTCGAGTGCATTCTGACTATCCTAAAACAAGATTTTCCAATAGGACAAGCAATTTAGTCTTATTTCAAGAACTGTTGCTTTATTTTCTAATTGGGAGATATCTTGTATCTTCTCAAAACAAGATCCTTTTGCTTTGGCAAATCTTGTTTTAAGGCAGTCAGAATGTGTTCAAATTAAGATACATTTTGCATCACTTCGAGTCAAAGTCGAATGATTCAGTGCTATAATCTATCGGTTTATTGGTCATCTTCTCCTGTGTCCCTGATTGGCTGGACCAGCTGTCAATCAGGCTAATCTGAGGACTGAGCAGACTGACATTGATCTGTTTTTACATACTGGATAATAGAGATAAATCATTTCCCAGACTAGACTGAAGGAATGGTGATATAAAGTTTTAACCTTATTTCTGTTGTGATGCCAGTAATTGTGAAAGGTGATTACCTGCTGGAAACAGGCCTGCACCAGGTTCTCAGGGAACAGGTTTCGGATGAGGTCGAAGAGTGCGTCAACGCTGGACACGTCATCGTTCTTCTTGCCCTGGCCCATGTTCGCCCTCATCTTGGGGTTCCCTGGGTGTATCACCAGCACCAGGACCACCCCCAGCACCGCAGCGATCACTGTAGTGGACATGTAGTACACCATGGCTCGAGTGCCCAGGCGACCGCTGGACTTGGCATCTAATCCAGCCAGACCTGCAGAGGGAGAAGTCTTCAGTGTGGGCAAAACTTTCACATTCACATTGACTTTCACAGCTATTTCAACAATACAAGTCGTCATGTGTCATTGGACCAGTGCATTTTGGACATTTATCAACATTTATGGACATTGGTCATCTCTCAATTGCCCCCATATGGACCAATATCAATGTGTTTTCTGTTGTATTTCTCGTGTTTGTCCTCTTAGATTACTACTGTTGTGATTTTGGGCGATACAAGAATAATTTTAAATGAGTTGGCTCCGATGGTGAACATGCAACATATATATAAATCCTCCAGTAAGGTCATCCTCCACATATTTAATTTTTTCCATCAATGTACAAACCTATGTGCACCTGGTCTAAACCAAAACACTAAATTGAACAGGACCAAACTTGTGCATTTGTAAATAAGAAAGTGGTTTTTGTTTTTATCTCCACTCAAAAAAGTGCTGCTTTACGGCAAATTTGTCTAATTTCGAATAACTAAATTCACAGACCAGTTTGAGAAACTCTGAAATGTGTGGATTGTCACAGTACTGCTCATTTAACTACTCATCCATTCACTTGTTTCTGCTTGCTAGTCACCAGTCTCCACCCTGCACCACACTCTGCAACCTCACTCTTCATAATGTGAGCTGTCGCCTCCATGAGAGACACTACGGCTTAATGCCCAGAGCAACATACAGCTCCATTCTCCTATCCTCTCCATATTATTCTAAAAGAGATCTGAATGAGAAGAGAAAGCAGCATTGACCTGTGACCAGGCTGGAGATGATGAGAGGGAGGATGAGCATCTTCAACATCCTCATGAGGATCTCTCCAGGAAAACTGATGACCATGACCACATCTGCGGGCAGCGGCGAGATGTGGCGCAAGAGCATTCCTGAGATGGAGCCCATGAAGACACCTGAGGAGCACAGCAGCAGAACATGCACTGGTGTGTTCTTCAAAATCCTGGTTAAAGTGCGTATGGCATAGTTATACAGGAAGAGTTACCTAGCAACCATGTCATAAACTGGATAAAGACGTATGAATTTGAAATTATCAACATCAACTCTTTCTTTAGTCCAGAATCATTAAAGTGTGATCGTTTATTTGTTGTAAATAATACCAAAGATGTCAGTGCTAGATCTCTTTAAACTCTAGAACTCCTACAAACTGGAAATTCCAACACATTTTTCCCATTTTCTATCTCAAACTACAGCAGTCGTTTTTATTATAATTGGATGCAATTCCACCAAAATAAGTCCAAAGAATGAAACAATAGAACATGTGGCAGACACTTGAAGCCAGCTCTGCTGTTTCCTCTTCTTGAATGTGTGAAATGACTTGTGATTCATGTTTAAGGTGAGACTGCAGCTGAGTGCAGTAGTGAAAATAGACCAAACAAACTGTAGCTTTAGACAGAACATTAAAGGATTCTAATGATGCGAGCTCAGCTGTAGTCAGTGTGATGTGGATGTCAGCTCCAGGACTCTTACCCAGGATGGTGAGGGTCAGCACCATGTTCTTCATGATCTTGTCACAGACGTTGGAGCAGAAACCCTTGGGGTCCTCCTTCTGGGGCTCCATAAGGCTCTCATCCATCCGCACCTGCACATGTTTCTGCATGCTGTTCCTGAGGAGATCACATGTTAGATGTTAGATATAATGATCACATATCAGAGATGATGATCACATGTTAGAGATGATGATCACATGTTAGAGATGATGATCACATGTTAGAGATGATGATCACATGTTAGATGTTAGATATAATGATCACATGTTAGAGATGATGATCACATGTTAGAGATGATGATCACATGTTAGATGCTAGATATAATAATCACATGTTAGAGATGATGATCACATGTTAGAGATGATGATCACATGTTAGAGATGATGATCACATGTTAGATGTTAGATATAATGATCACATGTTAGAGATGATGATCACATGTTAGAGATGATGATCACATGTTAGATGTTAGATATAATGATCACATGTTAGAGATGATGATCACATGTTAGAGATGATGATCACATGTTAGATGCTAGATATAATGATCACATGTTAGAGATGATGATCACATGTTAGAGATGATGATCACATGTTAGAGATGATGATCACATGTTAGATGTTAGATATAATGATCACATGTTAGAGATGATGATCACATGTTAGAGATGATGATCACATGTTAGAGATGATGATCACATGTTAGATTGAGAGTGAGATCTCATGAAACGTCGCTCCTGCAGAACAATGTTTTTGTTTCTAACTCTCCATTTTCTACAGCAGGACCATTGGAAACAGTGCATGTACCTGTTGTTCAACTCCACACCACAGACAAATACTTTGTTATTATTCCGTTCACTCAACAACAGCCAATGGCTTTTGTCTGGGCTCTTGAAATCACTTTTTCTATTCTCACAAGGGTTTGACAAGTAATTGAACACATTGGGCCTCATTCACGAACGGTTCTTAGGAACAGATTTGTACGTAAATCCTACTTACGCGGTTTTTACGAAGAAAGTGGCATTCACGAATATTTCTCGTAACCAGAATTTCTCTTGGGCAAGTACAAATCCTACGAGTCCTCAGGAGCACTCGTACGCATTCAGTGCCGACATGTTCACACGCCGGGGTTGTCCTCTTTGGTGAAGTTGAATAAAAATACAACATTCCAGTGATATGTCCGTCATATCGATGTATGTATTTATTTATTTGTAGTAATCTTTATTAGTAATCTTTATTTATATACCGCCTTTTTCACTGCAGATCTGGCCTACTTTTTAATTCATTTTGAAATGAAATGTGCCAACGCTTTATCAAATACATTGGAAATCTTGCCGTGTATTAGTGACCCCTTCCTATTTATAGGGGGCATTTCTTTATCCACGGGCCACAGAACAACGGCATATATACTGCTGCTCCAGGAGGTTACTGGGTCCGCGCTGGTCTCTCCCATGGATCTATACGGGTCTGCACTGGTCTCTCCATACGGGTCCGTGCTGCATGCTCCTGGATCCATACGGGTCCGCGCTGGTCTCTCAAGTCTGGTCTATGCGGTCTCTCTTCGGTCCGCGCTGGTCTCTGCGCACCGGTCTCTCCAGTCAGGTGTCTCCAGTCTATGCGGTCTCTCCAGTCAGGTCACTACAGTCTATGCGGTCTCTCCTATAGGTCCGCACTGGTCTCTGCGCACCGGTCTCTCCAGTCTATGCGGTCTCTATATGTCCGCGCTGGTTTCTGTGTGCTGGTCACTCCAGTCTCTCCTCGGGTCTGCATTGGTCTCAGCGCTGGTCCGCGCTGGATCTCCTCCCAGGGTCCAAAATATTTTGAGATTCATCTTTAAAATAATACATAATATATTTTTAAATTAAGCTCATAACATTTTAGATTAATCTCATCATATTCTTAGATTAATCTCATAATTTTGCTAGTTTGACTTTATTATCATAATATTTCGACTTTTAAGTCAACATTTTATAACTTTATTCTCAGTCTGGTAAAAGAAGAAAAAAGGGTGACTCTTTTGCTCGTGTAAAGGCCTGTTGCTGTTTCCTCTGGCGTCTGCACACGGCCCTGCAGTCCCTTATATGGGCATTAGTGGGCGGTTACTTATGCTAAGTACCTATGCTAATGAAGCACCTGCCACGCGCGCTGTGCTTATGAGGAAATGGGATTCATCAATCTGAGAGAACAGCTGCGAACAATTCAGCGGCTTACGAGTGCGTTGATGAATCCCACGTGGGGACTTCTTAGAAATCTACTTAAGGACAACTTGAGAAGAAAGTTGAGTAGTTTCTTACGAAGTTATTCGTGAATGAGGCCCATTGACTTTAACTTTAACATGCTCACTCCATGTTTTTGTGACAAAGAACAAAGACAGACTTGGGTGGTAACGTGTTGGTGCAATATGAAAACTTTTTCCACTTGGAACTTAGAAACACAGAAACATATCAAATTTCAGTCTGGGTTCAAAGTAACAGTCGTGAAGTCCAGGGGAGTTCTTAAAGATATTCTTTCTTCCTCTTGAGCTCTACATAGATGCACAAAGACCTCTGAGGCCAGTGGTGTTTACAATCTTCTGCAGTTTGTTTACTCTGTACCATCCATAATCACCAAACCACATGTCAAACGTAAGAATGCTTTAGTTTCAAAGATGTTTTGGCGGATCTTCGATGTGTCTGTGGACTGAACATGCTTATCTGAGATTGTTAACAAACTAACAATCTGGGGGACAGGAGACACAGGTATCTGTGAGGTTTTGCTCTGACTTCAGAGAAAGCTTGCTGTGGTCCACTCTAAAGCCTCTCAGACTTAGAGCTTAAGTCCCAGGAGCACTTACGTAACACGTCTTTTCTAAATCCTCCAACACCTGGAGATGACCAAGCTAATACGCTGCCTTGCAAAAGTATTCACACCCCATTAAAGCTTTCACAATTTCTTTTGTTACAACCTCAAGCAAAAATAATACATTTGTTTGATTTTTTTGTGAAAGACAAAGTGTAAGTTTGTGTTGTGTAATATAAATGATACAGTCCATTATTTTAGAATAAAACACTGAGCGAGAAAAACAATAACACTAAAATAAGTGATGAGTGCAAGAGTTTCCTGTAGAAGTTTCCTGACGATTGATGAAAGGTTAAATGTAGATCTAACTCATAAGTAGTTTGTTGTTCTGCAGAGTGTAATCTGATCTCAGTATCTTTGCAGCTGTTCTGATCTTTAGAGGTTTGGGGAGAGAATACATTTCACTAAACAGCATCATGAAGTCCAAAGAACACACAGGACTGGGAAGAGGTTGTGGAAAGCTTGGTTATTATTATACATGGTTTTTACAAGCTTTGAACATCTCACAGAGAATGGTTCAATTTGGGAAAAGAGTATGACACAACTGCAAACCGACCAAGAGACCGAGCACTGAGAAAAGATTTGATATTAGTCAGATGATACACACATCTGGGCTGTATGTGAGAAGAGCAGCGGGGGCATTCAACATGTGGAAGAAGGTCAAATACACTGCTCATCAGTGCAATCACACCATCCCAGTGGCAGTGGCAGAATCATACTGTGGGCTGCTTTTCTTCAGCAGGAACAGGGAAGAGTGTCAGAATGGATGGATTTATTGAATGCAGGATAATCTTGGAGGAAAATCTGTTGGTGTCTGCTACAGATTCCAAAAACACAAAGCCATTTCTAACAATTGAAAACAAAACATATGAATGTGTTAGATTTCAGACCAATCCAATCCAGAAACTGTGGCTATTGTCAAAACTCACTGTTGACATTCACTCACTGACCAAACCTGACAGAAATTGAGCTGTTATGCAAAGAAGAATGTGTGAAATAAATGAGTCTCTAGTTGTGCAAAGCTCTTAGAGACATAGGCAAGGCAAGTTTATTTGTATAGCACAATTCATACACAAGGCAACTCAAAGTGCTGAACAAAACAAGAAAGCATTAAAATCATAAATAATCACAGAACATTAAAAAGAAGGATACAAATATAAAATCCCTCAGTTCTTTGACGTAGTTCAAAAGACTTTGAAAAAGTTCTACAATGTATGATCTCAGGGGGCTGAACACTTTTGCAAGGCGCACTTCATCATATATGTTTGTCTGTTCTGTTTTAGTTCTTGGATTACTATTATATTCATCTTAAACTAACACTAATAATTGAAGTAAGAATGCAGAAGTGTTTGCATCCCTGACTCAGAAGGATGCAGTGCTGCGCATTACTGCTCTTAAGCCCTTTACAGCGGCTAAAGTTAGCGACTGAGTTATGTAAGAGAAAAGGGGCTTCCTGGGAAAGTCAAGGTGTCGCCCTCTGCTACCTGACAACTGACCACAACTGACCACAAGTGACCACAGCAATAAGGATTACAGTTCTCAAATTTAACAAAAACAAATGAAAAAGTTTATCTATTCACTCACTACAATCTGAAAAGATCCATATTCCAAAGCTTAAACACTCAAACACAATTCTTCAAAAAATCATGTATTCATTTGCTCATCTTGTTTAATGCTCACTGACAAACACAAAAACTTGAAACAAAGTTTTTACTAAAGAAATCCGCCGAAGATTGATGCTCACCCGTTCATGTGCTGCTCTGGGCGGAGGAGGTTTGTACTGAAATCCATTTCTGAAGCTGAAGGTGCAACACAATTACGGAGAGTGTATTTGTAAATCCATCAAAAATCTCCTAGAATAAAGAAAGTATGTCCTCTCAGCTCTCAGCAGCACACAGGTGCAGACGTCTGGAGGTGTGTAAAGGCGGAGTGAGCGCACTCAGTACAGAGCTGCAGACAGAGGGCGGAGTCATTGCTTGGATTATACACAAATCCTGACGCTTCACTCTCCAACTGTGTTTACTTCTGGGGAAAACTTAATTTCATTAATACAGCCGTCACCAACCTGACTGCAAGAGGCAGAAATATCTATTTTCCGCTTTTCATTCTCATTCTTCATCATGTCAATTACCTTGATACAATGTTACACATTGTGTAATAACAAACATAGCCACAATCTACACATTCTAACTATCTCTTTATATGTATGCACAATGAAAGTTTGGTACTTCAAAGGCAGAGGATCAATGGCAGGTTCGGGTGACTGTCTGATTGGTCGGAGGGCTGATGATGGTAGTAGGGCAGCTGTGGCTGCAGTTCAGAAAATATGGAGAGAAGGAATTGTGCACAAATTGTAAACCTTTGTGACAGTTAAAAGAGAGTGACCAGAGAGAGACCAGAGAGAGGTGCTTCTCTGTGAAAGAGGACTCTGAACTGTCTGTTTTTGAAGGTTCTTTATGATTCTTAAATCCAGCTCTGAAAATAATCATTGACTCCTCTGGCCCATGCTCCAGCTTCTTCCCTCTGGCAGAAGATATCGTTTGCTGAGATGCAAGACATCTGGATATGATAACGGCTTCTTTCAGCTGTCAGTCTTTAATGATCTTGCATCCATCCATCCATTTTCTTCCGCTTCATCCGTTGCCGGGTCTAAGTAGAGACGCCCAGACTTCCCTATCCACACACACTTCCTCCAGCTCGTCCGGGGGGACCCCAAGACGTTCCCAGGCCAGCTGAGAGACATAGTCCCTCCAGCATGGGCCTCCTCCCGATGGGACGTGCCCGCAACACCCCCCCCCCCTGGTGGGTCCTTCATGGACCCACCACCCACAGAGGGATCCGTGGTGTAGAGCTGCAGAGAGGACTGGGCAGCAGTCGTAGACGGATGCCTCGACCACCTTGTCTGAACACACAATGATCTTGCACTGGTATTAAAACTGTTTCTGTAGATTGATTTCAGAGACAATTGTTACTTGTTACCTTTTCATCTTGTTATGGAGCTCTTCGCGAAAATTCACTGTGGTAGACCCGGCCGCTGCTACAAGCCTGCTCATCCTCTACTCATTACACCAGCAAAACGCCCACATCTTATCCACCAACAACCACCAGGACAGCAAGTTAAAAGCCGGAGACGCCCACTTCCCGGCCTTCTGAAGGTTGCAAACTTCTGAAGTCTGCAAGGTGCATGTCGCTAACGCACCTGTTCGCAAATGCATGCGTTGTTCTGGAGGGGTCGCTTCTGCTCACGTGTTGCTCGTGCGCGTGGCCCGGCTGTCCTCAGTCTGGCTGCTCGTGGTCTGCTCCTCCTCCCCGTCCCTGCACCTGCTGTGGTTCGCGTGTCTCCACTGCTCTCCTCCTCTGCGGGCTCTTCTGCGGGCTGCTCCGCGGGGCCCCTCCGCGGTTCTGTGCTGCTCGTTCCTCGTGGTCTGCTGCCGCTCGCAGACGGTGCCGTGCGTGTCCCTGCCTCCGATTGGCGGTGCCGCGTTGTCCCGTTGCTTTTCCCAAGTCTCCTGGCATGTGAGTACAGTGAGTGTGCCGACCGCGGACAGTTTAATCCCGGAGTCTAGGCTGCAGGCGGCTGGTTTTTGCCCTGCGCACTTGACTGCAGGCGTCAGTTTTCGCCCCGTGCTTGGTCTGCAGGCTCCGTTTTCACACGTGTTTGAGCTAACTGAGGGGCAATGCATATTAAATGGCATCAATCTCTATTGTCTGAGGGATATAAGAGGAGCAATGTGCATAATTCAGATTCATGTTCTGCCACTTGCAGTAAAACCACGTTGGAAAAATGTGCAAAGACTACCCCATCGTGCTCCAGACGGCACACACCAGAGCTCTTGCCACGGCGCCATCTTTACAGCATCAATCTCATTACTCGCAGGTCACTATTGTTAAATGAATGCATTTAAATTCGTCTATCTGCAGGAGGAAGGAGGGGCCATGCATTTAAATAGCTAGGTCACTAGTATTAAATTGGGTAACTAAACTGCAGTTGTTGCATTTTGAAAGTGCAGCAGAAAGAAAAAGGGCCCAATGTGAATCTGCAATGGGTTTGAAGTGGAGTTGGAGCTAATGAACGCATGGAAAAGTTATCGTTCATGCGTATCTGCCATAATCAAAGCAGCAAGATGGCTCCAGGGGACATCTGTTATTCGCATGGGAATGTTTCGGATTCGGGTTGATTTATTTCCTCAGGCTCTTAAACAACCATGGGCATGGTTCTCTGACCGCCGCTGCTGCGGTCCCTGCTGCCGTTCCTACTGATGCCTGATCCCGCTGCTGCTGTTCCTGCTGCCGCTCCTGCTGCTGCCTGTCCCTGCTGCCTGCTCCTGCTGCTCCTACACTACATGTGCCGCTGCTGCTGTTCCTGCTGCCGCCTGTTCCTGCTGCCTGTCCCTGCTGCTCCTACTACTACATGTGCCGCTGCTGCTGTTCCCGCCGCTGCCGCTCCGCGGGCTCCCGGGCGGCACCTGTCTCTACGGCTTGGCTCTTTCAGACACGTATGTAACCTGGCTCACGGAGACAAGCGGCGCACGCTGGCGTGACACGTCTGTTGTTCGTATGAATCTCATTGTGCTGCTGCTGCTGCTGCTAATGCTGCTTCTGCTGCTTGATACTGCTACCGCTACTGCTGCTACTGCTGCCGCTAATGCTGCTACTGCTGCCGTGCTGCTGCTGCTTCTTTACTTTGACACCTCTCTTCACTTCGCATCTCTTTTACTGAAACACTAAACAGCTTCAACAATATTCTACTGCGGTGGCTTTGATACAGGATTATTGCTGTTATTATCTACGGATGCTGCAACCGCTGCTGCTGCTGCTGCTTCCTACTGCTACTGCTGCTGCTTCATACTGCTACTGCTGCTCCTGCTAATGCTGCTTCATACTGCTTACGTTACTGCTGCTACTGCTGCTTCATACTGCATCTGCTGCCGTGCTGCTGCTGCTTCATGTACTTTGACATCTCTCTTCACTTCGCATCTCTTTTACTGAAACACTAAACAGCTACAACAATATTCTACTGCTCTGGCTTTGATACAGGATTATTGCTGTTATTATCTACGGATGCTGCAGCTGCTGCTGCTGCTACTGCTGCTGCTGCTTCATACTGCTACTGCTGCTGCTTCATACTGCTACTGCTACTGCTGCTGCTTCATACGGCTACTGCTGCTACTACTGCTGCTGCTGCTTCATTTACTTTGCCATCTCTCTTCACTTGCATCTCTTTTACTGAAACACTGAACAGCTACAACAACATTCTACTGCTGTGGCTTTGATACAGAATTATTACTGTTATTTTCTAAGGACGCTGCTGCTGCTGCTGCTGCTGCTACTGCTGCTGCCGCGGCTTGATACAGGACTATTGCTGTTATTATCTGAGGTTACTGCTGCTGCCGCTGCTGCTACTGCTACTGCAACCCACTCTCTCAGAAGCTTATCCTGCTTCTAATGGACGCAGCCCGGCCGAGTATGCCGCGCTGCGCCGGACTCGCACCTATGCTCCCAGGGTAGCTTCGGCGGTCGTGCTTCATCTCTCTACTTAATCTTCTGATCTATCAGATGCAGCTGGCCAAGTAGCTGCGCTGAGCCGTCAATCGGACTCCTAATCAAAGGCATCCATACCTGTATTCTTCACTCTTCTGATCGCAGGCTCCCCATCATGCTGCCCATTCCTGCAGCGGCGCTGAACTCCGGCTCATCTTCCAAGTACATGTCTGCCCTCCTCGCAGCATCTTCCTGCTCTCCTTCTATGGCTTCTCTGCATAAGCGTCTCACCATTGCTCACTCAACCTTCATGCGGTCCGAGACACGGCTTTCCCGACCATCCTACTATCCTGATTATCTACTCTCCAACCCAAGATTCTACGCGTAAGGGCGCCTGCAAACATCAATGGCCTTCTCCGATATGTCTCTGCCCCTACAGGTCTCCGCTTCTACACGGACGCTGCCCTTTCCGTGGGTTTTGGGGGATTCTTCCAGGACCATTGGTTTGCCGAGCGTGGCCGCTACTTTCCACCGGAGCATCTCCTCTGCCCTACACGAGATATTCCCAGTGGTCGTGGCTGCGCGCTGTGGAATCACACGTGGCAGAGAAAGAGGATCTCTGTCATGTGTGATAATCTCGACGTAGTGGAAGCATTAAACAAAGGTCGCTCTTTTTCACCCAACATAATGTCCCCTGACCATTTCAACCTCCGTCTCTAACATTCAAAAATCAAAGGAGCCTGCAATATAGTAATAGCTCGCTCGGACACATCTCTCTGCCCCTACATATCCATGATGCGTTACACTCGCCTCCGCTGCAAAAAGGAGATTTTAACGGACCTCTCTTTCTCACTCCAGACATTCTTCCCATGACAGCAACCTGGTTCAGAGTTCAACTAAGATCCCTACTGCTCCTCTGTAAATTATCTCCCCAGCTCTATACAGCCCACTCCTTCAGGATAGGCGCTGCCACGCGCGCGGCCTCGCTGGGGCTCCCCCACACCTCTCTGCAACAGCTGGGGCGCTGGTCCTCTTCGGCCTTCTCCGCCTACATCAGGCCAGACGCGTCCGCCATCTTGGCTGCACAACGGCTACTGGCTTCCTCGTAAGCTCCCAGCAAAGCAATACAAAGCAAAGTAAGTGAACCTATAAGATTCTGGTGACGGCACGCACTTTAAAGAAACTCTGCTGCAGCGTCTGGTTGATCGTGATGCGAGCGCTCACGTCCCGGCGCTCAAAGACAACTCTGCTGCAGCGTCTGGTACCGATCGTGATGCGAGCGCTCACGTCCCAGACAGCGTCCGGTTGAT